CAAAGTACTGTCCTGAAGCAGATGAGTTCTGAGCCCGGGACTTGTGTGTACAGTCCCCAATTTGGCTGGTAGTTTTAGGCTTTTTTTCTTTTGGTAGGCGGACACTGCAGACCCAGGCAAGTAGCTGCTCCTCAAAAGTGACGAGTTGGGCCAAAACCCTCATTCAGAATTCATTCGTCATATTTTTTTGCTGCTTGGTGAGACTAGCGAGGAGCTTCTTTCAGCACTGCTCGAGAGAGAGAGAGAGAGAGAGAGAGAGAGAGAGAGAGAGAGAGAGAGAGAGAGAGAGAGAGAGAGAGAGAACTTGCTGTTCACTGGACAGTTTCTTGAACCGATCGTTGCATATTGCTCAGGGAGGCCAGGCCTTCCATTATCCATCATCTTTTTTCTGGTTTCATCAACTATTTTGTATGTGACTACTCGATTCCGATTTTCTGTAAAGTTGAAGTCCTGTGTGATCTCATCTCAATCAAGTGTGTATGTGAGACGATGAGCGGAAGTGCTTGAGATTTCGGAAATTCGTAAAAATACAGGCAGTCTGAAAAGAGAGAAGTTGCTGAATGCCGTCGCCATTGCCGTTGCAGGGAGTGGGGAGGTTAGTCGATGAGCTAGAGACAATCAAAAGCTGCAGAGCACAGAGGATAACATCACAAAATGAACAAACCCGCCAGCAAAATGAACAAACCCGCCAGTAATGAGTCAGCAGGCACTTGAGAAGCATAGAACCGTCGGATCTTCTCCCGTCAAGTCCTCAAAGCCCCCCAGTTAAACATTTCTGATTGGGAATGGTGTCATTCTGTGAATTCGCATAGGAATCACAATAGGATCATGGCAAGTTTTTGTGAGTGAGACACGTTCCAAGATTGACAGCGAAGTGCTGTTCTTTTATTTTCATTCAGGTGCAAATGCATGAAGACACGGGACACACTAACCTTGTTCATGATCTCCAGAGATCGCTGGACCCCTCAGATTTGCTGGCCTGGAAGAAGAGAAACTCCTCGATGAATGATGCCCAAAAACCTGCGAGTAGAACGTAAATTATGCAATGATCCCCCCAATTCCACGTCAGATCGCAAAACCATCCTAGTTCACAACTCCTCACACAAGGCTCCAATCACACACAAAAAGGAGAACACAATACGGCAACTTCAATTATTATCAGAATCCAAGAAAGCACATTCAAGGAACAAGTCCGTGTCATATCCACATGGCAGTGATGGCTGCCGTCACCAACTACAGCTCTCTCTCTCTCTCTCTCTCTCTCTCTCTCTCTCTCTCTCTCTCTCTCTCTCTCTCTCTCTCAAGTTCTAGCTATGGTGCCCAGTGCTGTTGACTACTCTACTTGGCATTCCTCCGCAAGTCACACCTGGTGTTTGCTCGCACAAGAATGAAGCAGCGCTTCCGTGACAGCCCCGACAGAAAATGTGTTGACACTGCACTGTAGCAGCGCTCTTGTTCTCTGGCTGAAGTTCCCGATCTCGGACTTCTCGGACCGTACCTGTCCCTGATCTTTCTAGCCGCGCTTGTCAGGCACTTCCGATAAGTACCGGTCTTAATGTGTTGACACTGCACTGTAGCAGCGCTCTTGTTCTCTGGCTGAAGTTCCCGCTCTCGGACTTCTCCGACCGTACCTGTCCCTGATCTTTCTGGCCGCGGTTGTCAGACACTTCCGATAAGCACCGGTCTTTCCTTGGATGGAGCTGCTTTATTTCTGAAACTTGGACTTTTGTCATGGAGCGGACTTCTGATGGGCTACCGGAAGATTGTATGGACGGACCCTATAGACCCTACAACAACTAAGACTGTGCAACAGGGCCCACCCGGTTGGGCCATCTTACATGGGGCCAGGAACCTTGGGAATTCTGGGACCGGCAGGAATGGGGAAAGAGTTCTGAAAAACCTTCCACTCTCGCCGGCCTAGTTTCGAGGTTGACGTAGAAGCTATGATCTTTCTCGCCTATCTGCAATAGCCCGTTCTTAGTGTGAAGCACTGTCAACGGCCGTCTCTCGTAGTCGGTTCCTGGTATACCATTCGTCATCCCCAGGTTCCTGATATTGAAAACGAACCTTATACTTTGACTGCTGCGGCCTTCCCCTTCTCTCGGATCTGTAGATATTCTCACCTTGTATCCGATCCATGTCATACTGACCATCCATGTCAGGGGGAATCACTGATCTGCATGATGGAAAGGAGTTCTCTGTCACGCAAGGCGGTATCTTGGATGCATGGAACACATGGTATGTATATCAATCACATCTGCATTCCCCAACACATCAAGCACTTCCCACGGTCCTCTATATGCAGGCAGTAGGCTTCTGAGAAATCCCTTTCTCGGGAACGAACTCCTTTCGATTTTACGCCGACAAAATCTCCAACAGCGAGCGTAGATGGACGCTGATGCTTATTTGCTTGCTCTATCAATTTCAACTGGGAATGTCTAAATGTTTTCTGCAACTTTCTGGAGGTCGTTCTCGTACTCTGGTGCAAACCACTTTTTTTTTTTTTTTAACTCTAGTTCAAACTCACGTGCTCAGAACGGCAGTCTTTTGACTTGATCAGGGTAGACGAACATCTATTGCCCTCCGTGGCTTCCATCGCTCATGCAATTCATTCGGTGTTCACCCTGTAGATAAATGCGCGCAAGTATTGTGTGGACTACCTACCTTAGGCAAGTGCTCGTCCCAATCGATCTGATCTGCTCTCATGTACATACGTAAAGTCTGCTTTTGTATGCACTGCCTAGCTTAGGCAAGTGCTCGTCCCAACCGATCTGATCTGGTCTCATGTACATACGCAAAGTCTGCTGTAGCAGCTGGTTCAATTGTTCTGTCTCAGGGTGTCTACAGGACGACATGGTTAACTTCGAGCTCTATGCTTTCATCACCTGTTACAACTAGGAAGCAAACAATGTATAATCTATGTTATATCAAGAATCTATTAGAGTATCAGATCGCTGCTGTAGAAGTAGGACAACATTTGTATTGGAAGATAGTTAACTTGTTCTCCAGTAGGCGGGTGGCCATTATCTTTGACGCAATGAGCAAACAGTTCATGGATTACCAGTGTGTTTTTCGCTAGGGCAGCAGTGCAACAAATACTGCAAACTTGCTCAAGTGGTCTACAACGACCACTACTTGGCTGTTTCCTTTTCCACTCTTAACCTTCGTATCATGAACCAAATAGATACAAACCCGTCCGGGTCCTGGAGGTATCCGCAACGGTTTTCTTAGTGGTAGAAGGGGCTGTGTCATGCCCTCATTCCTCTGCCATACTTTGCATCCCTGGATGTATCACATGTAGTCAGCTCTCATACTGGCCCACGTGTACACCCTCAACAGGAAAGCTGAGTCTTCCTCCATCCACAATGCCCTTTTGTGTCGTGGCACTTGCCCACTATCAGGCTATGGATTTCGTCATTGTTATGGATACGTTGTCTTAACTGGTCAAAGTCGAAAATACCAGTCTTAACTGGTCGAAGTCCGGTACTTCGCGGGGTTTCTATGCTACTCCAGCTATTATGGCCCTCAAAATCTGGCCCTCGGAATCCGATCGTCTGGATATGCAGCATTTACCCGTTGCCGCAGTTCCTCCCCGGCATCGAGGAAATTGACAAGCGTTTTAAAGAAGTCAGCTCTCCTAGAGAGCACATCAGCTATGACATTATACCTGCCTTCGACTGGTCTCAATTCGAAAGTTAACCTCATCAATCTCTCTGCCCATGTAGCCGACGTAGTCAACATCCTAGGTTGGTTCTTCAGCCAATGCAACATCTCGTGATCCGAATAAAACTTAAAACGCCGGCCTGGGGGATAGTGCCTCCATGTATCTAGCGTTTCATGCAGCGCTTACGACTCCCTTTCATACGGGTGAATGGCACTTCCTCGGAGGGCGGCCGGCCCGCCAGACAAGAATTCAACGGGGCAGTACCCGTTACCGTCATCTTGCTGCAGCGCGGCGCCTATCACATTATCTGGCTTGCATCGATCATGACTACGAATGGCAGCGAAGGGTCTGCTGTTTTCAGTATATGGAGAACTGCATTAACGGGTACTGCCCCGATGAATTCTTGTCCTCCTTCCTTCTTTAACAGTCGGCGTAGTGGTGTTGCAACTGTGCAGAAATTTTGCACGAATTCCCTGTACTACCTTGCTAGGCCTAAGAACGAACGCAGTTCTGTCAGGGTCTTCGGTGCTGGATAATCTCGCATCCTCCTGTCTCACCCCGTCTCCATCAATTACATGGCTTAAATACAGCACTTGCTGGCCCACGAGCACTTCTCGGGGTTCATCTTGAATTTCTTGTCTCTCAACTTACTTAGAACTTTCTGCAGATGTTCTCTGTGCTCGTACAACATTTTCCTGATATCATCCACACATCTCTGACATGTAGCAGGAGCCTTAGTTACTCTAAACTCGTAGTCTCCGTATTGGGCCCTAAATGCAGTCTTGTCCTGTCTCCAGGCTCGAATTCTATCTGGTGATACCCCGATTTCAGATCTATCTTCGAAGAATATTTACATCCGTGCAGTAGGTCTGACAGATCATCCATCCTTGGCAGCAGTTCAGCATTGTTAACAGTGATAGCATTCAATCCTCTGTAGTCTACAGTACTGTATATACATTCTCAGCTCACCTTCCATCTTGGGAAGGTCACCTTCCTTCTTGGGAAGGAACAAAATAGGGGCACCATAGGATCTAGGCTTTATCCACGTCTTCTCTATCAGCTCATCTAGTTGCTTCCTCGATTCTTCCAGTTCCCTAGGACACGTCCTGTAGATCGGACCCTTCGAGGTCTTGCTTCCGGGCTCAAACTCAATTCTATGCTTGATTTCCCTGTCTACTACTCCACTACCGTCTTCACCCAAATAAAACGCCCGGTAACTATCGCTGCATCTGGACTGAAAGTTGTACCACATGCAGCTACAATGAGCCGACGTTGTATTCAGATGAACACGGCAGGTGCCTCCTCCAGATCTGCAAACCCTTTTTTAACAGCACCTGTATCGTGGGTGGTACCTCCACTTTTGCTAGCCTCTCAACTTACTGGCTTCACATAAGGTACATAGACTTGATCTAACATTTTCTGCTTCACTACGTATCTGGCAAACGCGGATGCACTCATGCAGCATATGGACAGAGCAGACTACTTGAGAAAGATGTACACCTTCCTCTTCTTACATTCGCTGCTGAGCAGCCGGCACTCATGCTTGCCCATGCATATCTCTGCCTTTGCTGCTTCTAATTGGTCTGTCCCCAGAAGTATGTCAAAGGGTAAGTTTCTTTCCACTAGAAGGGTCAGGGAATGGAGTACGTTCTCTAACTTCTTCCCTCCCTCCAACCGAAAGTTGGCCTTCATCACCTCAGCATACTCATCTACAATCATCAACTTAGCATCTGCTAACATCGAACACCAGACGTTCTTCGTTTTTTCTTTCTGCACTTCATTCCAAGAGCACATAATTCAATTAAATTTGAGATCATGAGACTGGGAGAATACCTTCATCGTGGTACAACTCGATACCTTCTCCTTGCACATACACACCCACGCACACACACACACACACACACACACACACACACACACACACACACACACACAGAGTTCAAATTGACAGCATGTAACATTAACTCAATTGACATTAACATAATAAGGATATTCTTTCTATTTAAAAAGATTCACACACACACACACACACACACACACACACACACACACACACACACACACACACGCACACACACATGCATGCATGCATGCAAACAGACATAAACAAAAGATGCACACTTTTGGAGATATGCGAAAAACTCACCAGCTTAACATTTTTCTGGGTAACATTCAGATAGAAGCACCGTGCCCTTGGTTTGAAGATGCCAACCTGAATACAACAGGGTTCCAAGTCATGTGCCCAACCCACAGCCGCACACATGGCAGTAAGAAGGGTGCTTTTCTTCACACATGGCAGTAAGAAGGGTGCTTTTCTTCACACAAGACATTTCATTGCAGGTGGCCTGGCAAATCTTACACTCTGGCCACGTTGCCTGAGCTTCAATACCTCTCTGGCCACGTTGCCTGAGCTTCAATACCTCACAGAACATGAGAAGCTTGCAGTCAGATAAACCCCAGAAGCTCCCAAAGACCAACTTGTCATGAGTCGTATAGGGTTACATTTTCCAGTTGAGTCAAGATGTACTAGGCCTCACAGGCAATGCATTTTCAGATGGACACAGGCGTGAAGGTTCCCTCCCGCCTTTGTTGGTATAGTTGATATGCTCCAGCTTACTTCCTCGTGTAAGGGCCGCAAGGGTGGTAGCCAAGTACCGTGCTGTTGTTTCTGCTGACTAAGTGGGGTGTGAGGAAGGCAGGAGGAAGACTTGTGGAAGGTGGTTTGTGCTCTCTGGTGGATGGAATGCAACTAGGAGTCTGTTAGGGTACACAAGCCATGGAGGCAGTGGCTCTTTTGTGAAATGTCTTGCCGTAAGGGGGCTGTGAGGGTATGGAAGGGGGTGCATCGGAGTGGAGCTTTTGAAATCGGCTGTACGGTGCGTTCTTGTGTTTTTGTGGACGTGCTTAGGGTGGTTAGCCTAACCTATAGCAGCGCTGGAGATGCAGGCTCGGTTGGGATAAGTCTTGCAGGAAGGGGGTTGGAGGGCTACAGGATTTGAACATGTGGCCTTGTTGGTTTGCACTGGTGTGATAGCTTAAACTTTCAAATTTGTTATTGAACTTTCCTAGCATCATCTAGGAGATTTGGTTGTGTTGTCATTCGAAACCTTGTGCTGCTCGCCAGAAATGAAGGGACGCTGCCCAGTTTCCAGCTTGAGCCGAAGCTGGGTAATGTCCCCAGTATATTCGGGTTGAATTGTGAGGCCCATGGCCTCGAGCTTATTCCAAATAAGGCACAAAGTTCTATTGAAAAAAGAAAAAGAAAAAAGATTTGAGTAAAAATAAGGTAAGGAATTACTTCGGCAAGAGAGGCTACGGGCGGTTGGGAGGCAGTTTTTGGGGTTGGGCGAGCTCAGTGAGAGTCTGAAAGACAGAGACAGTAAAACATGCACAACATGATGTTTGTGCACAAATCGTTCAAGACTTGAGGAGTTAGGCAGTAATCACCTGATGCAAAGGTGGACATGAGCTGCAGAATAAGGAGGTAGTAGATACAAGTTGGATTTGAACTTTCTTCCAGTTAACAGGAATTAGGTATGAAGTTTCGCACCCGTTGAAGAATCACCACCGATCCCTGGACGATGTCCTGATGGAACTTCTCATCCTCGAGCACCTTATGAAAAACCGTTCCACCAATTGTTCCCGTTGGATCCTGGATTCAATAGCAGATTAAAAAAAAAAAAAAGATTAAAAACTAAGATAACGTAGGAAAAGAACCGGAGAACACAGCAGAAGGACTACTAAGGCTAACTACCACTGACCACCTGGGCCGAAGTCTCACTTGCCTGAACTCTTCACTGAGGTCCATCAGTTGCAAGGGTCAGTGGGGAGGGGGG